TTGAAATATCTGAGGAAGATATAACTAAAAGAACATCCTGGACAAAACATACTTTTGTACAAATGACTGAGCTCCATATACCAAGCCGAAAGTACTTTAATTCATACTACTTTCTTTGAAATAAAGTACCACAGAAATAAAGACCACTGTTTACATGTAAAAATTGTACTACACCTATAAGTATGGACAAACATGACGAAACTTCTGCATTTCAAAACACGTTTCAAAATTCTTCAGTTCTTTCCAGGGACACCCAGCCCAGTACCCGACCCAGAACACAGGCTCGGCAAGTACAATTCACACTTGTTTGGCATTCTATGAACTTACGCTTCAACAGCTTTTTGCAAATACAACTAACTGTGATCACTTAATCCACGTAATAGTTAATATCTGTTTAACTCTCTCTCTCCCACTTGTCTACCTACTTTAACCAACACCTAAATCTAGATTCAATCCACGTGCAGAGGAGCCCGGCACAGGAGCAGGGCCTTGGTCTGGATCCAATGTAGGCTACGCTCCCCCTACACACCATGCCTGGGCTCCTGAGGTGCACAGGTCTGGTCCGGCAGCCTCTGCAGCACCCAGCCCCACCCAGCAGCAATGCAACAATGGGCTCTGCCTGCACTGCCAAGCAACAACCCAAGGCTGGGCTCGGCGAATGCCCACTCCCGCTCCCACCCTGGGGGACACAGGGCTAACTCAGTGTTTCTACGGACGCCCACTCCTGCTCCTGCCCTGGGTGGGGGGACACTCCTGCCCTGGGTGGGGGGACACGGGGCTAACTGAGTAATGCTATGGATGCCCACTCCTGCTCAGATGTTGGGCTAATTTAGCAGTAAGTCCGTTAGGACAGCCAGGCCAGAGAAAAGGAAAGCAAGGAAGACGGGCATGGTAGGGAAAAGAGGTCACACTCCAGGTTCAGCAGGTGCTGAGGGAAGCGCAGATGTGGAGAGTCTGTGATTACAGACCCTTAATCTATCTTCATCACTCTGATTTCACTTTTATAATCACGTGAATTTTAAGTTTACGCTCCCCGGTGAAATGCATCTGTGTATAAAACGCGCGGAATCTATCACTTTCTCTATTTCCTAACATGTTGAAATGAGGAAACAGGGCACCTTACCCCCCTCCTCAATGCAGTCCTGGCCTAACGACACCTGTCCAGGATCGAGGGAAGTGTCCTGGCCGTTACCTCTCAGCTGAGAAAATAACCCCACCCTGACAAGCGCCGAAGGCCAGGCTCATGCCAAGCAGAACCTTGCAAGGCAGCGGCAGCAGAGGCTGTGACAATGTGCCCCGGTGTCCCCAAGGCAGGTGCTCCGCGCTCTCCCACATGCGCCATAGGCCTGCTGCCAAGTGAGAGGCTCCCAGAGTTCTCCAACTCCCCTCCCCGCCCTGTAGTCTCATTCACCCCCTCCTTCCTCCTTCCCCCTTAACAGACCACAACATGGATCAGGAAGATTTTAAACTTCATCCTTAGTCCTTTACGACACCAAGTATTAAATTATAGGATAAACTACAATGAAGTCAAAAAAGGATTAAATGAAACTGCGCACCTCAGGCAATGCCTGACAGGTGACAAGCACTCAGGCATCAGCTGCGGTTATTTTGAGGAGTAAAGCGATAGGACCGATGTTTTAAACTTTAAAAAAGAACAGTTATTTTTCTTCTGGGTGTGCAATTCCTGAAACGAAAGATTTGTTCACCCTGCCCTAAATGAAAGGCAGAGGTTCACCGATGAGCCCCACAGCTGGGACTCAGCCAGCAGGCAGGAGCCCCCAGCCCTTGCAGAGCTGGCCGGCACACCTGCAGGCAAAAGCATGGTTCTGAGACCAGCTCTACTGACCGCCAAAGAGTACTCTGCGTTTTCACAATACTGTTCCCAGTCTCCATTACATCCCTGCTAATTAAAACCGAAATGTAACATGAGAGCCTTCCTATGTGAAGAGGAGGCTGCCTTGGTCGCCTGTCTGAGAGACTCAAGGGAGATGGGTTTTGTGTTTATAATCTGATCTGTAACCACACAGTAAGTGAAAAATGGACCCAGGATGTTTTCAATGGCATCAGAAGAACCTGGAAAGAATCTGAAGTTGACATTCTGCATAGAGGTGCTGTCTTCAGGTGTAACACTCCTGCCAGCATCTGTGTCTCCCTGGCTGCCCTGCCCTGAGTGTCACGCCTGGCATGGCCTTGTGAGAGTTGTGTTCTGCACAAGTGTGTGTCCCCTGGCCTGGTGGAAAGAGACAGACTAACTGGTACCCAGCTTTGTGCAGGACGCTGAGATAGGAGCTGGGTGTCAGAAAGCCCTGGGTGTGGGTTCTCAGGCTGGTCGGCTCAGCACAGTGTGCACAGAGGGGACTGTGGGAAGATCCCTGCTGGTCCTCCTATGAGATGGCTTCTGCAAGATGGATGGGTGGAGAGCCATCGACACCAGAAAGGCCCACACCTTAGGAGATGGCGGCCAGGAGTGCCTGTCACCCAGACGAAGTCTCTCCCTTTTATCTTGTGCTTGGCTGGTGGCCAAGAGAGCTTACAAGTTCACAAACAGAGGAAAAGTAGAGAGAATCTGTTTAGATTGCAAACTTTGGTTTCAAACCTATGGCTTTGGTTTCTTTACAAATATATACATCCAGCCGGGCACAGTGGCTCA